TTACAGAGTGCCACAGGGCTAGCTGCATTTAAATGTGTTTATTAAGAGTCTGTCAGAACGGCTGAGTTATAGATCCCATTTCTGACACTAACCTAAGACACTTATTCCAGTGAAAGCAGGGAAATAGTTCCACTGTATCAAGAATAACTAGCAGTAGACTCAAACAGGGAACTTGCAAATGAGCAGACCTCCAGTAAAACAAACTATAGATAACTGAGGGGAAAGAAAATAATGAAATAGATACTTCCATTACTCAGTTTTATTTTGGACTGAAGAAGACACAAGTTGAGAGAGGAGCAACTAGCAAGATGTGTACCCCAGATGGCAAGAAAGCTTACAGGGAACAGCCAGTTCAATCTACCACTTCAAAAATTGCTATAGAAATACTATTTTAAAAGTGCTTACAATTTCATTACCAAAGATGCCATACAACATGCTACTAAACTGTAATATTCTTTAAGTAATACAAGGGATAATGTATTAGTTTTCTGAACTTTTCATGTGTTTAAACAACGCTGGAGATCTGGAGGGATTTCACTGCACCTCCCATGTTGTTAGTCCTGTTAGGGCTCAGTGAAGTGATTCCATTCTCAGAGTAGTTGACAACAACAGTAAATTATGTATGGCCATACATAATATTACAATCACAAAAGATCTCCCAAGAAAAACAAAGTCAGTTAAAATATCAAATGACACACTTTGTCATGCTGGGTTTGGCTGCTCCATTACACGTGTTAAAAAATGTACCCAAATGCAAGTAGGCAAAGAGCACACTTCCATCACTGCTAACTGCAGTACTTTCTTTTCAGAAGGAATGTGGCACAAAAGAGGGCATATAAATCACAGAATAATAGAATTGTTTAGGTTGGGAGAGACCTTTCAGATCATCAAGTTTAACTGTTAGCCCAGCAATGCTGAGTCCACCACTAAACCATGTGCCTCAGCACCACATCTACTGATCTTTGAAATACCTCCAGGGATGGTGACACCACCATTTCTCTGGGCAGTCTGTTCCAGTGCTTAACGACCCTTTTGGTAAAGAAATTTTTCCTAATATCAAACCTAACTCCTGGCAGAACCTGAGGCTGTTCGTCCTTGTCTTGCTACTTGGGAGAAGAGACTTGACACCTGCATTTAGTTGTGGAGAAAGAGAGAGAGAGAGAGAGAGAGAGAGGGGGGTCTGAAGGTCTCCTCTGAGCCTCCTTCACGCCAGGCTAAATAACTCCAGTTCCCTCAGCTGACCCTGAGTCAGGGCACAGGGTCTGCTTTCATAAAAAAAACCCAAACAAACAAAAAAAAACACACCAAAAAAAAAAAAAGAGACAAAAAACAAACAACCCAACAACAACAAAAACTCAAAAAAATTTAAACTCACTCCATACTCCTGTCTGTTTGAAAACAAGCTCATCACCATTCACTTTCATTCCAACACTGTGAGCACCAAAATCCGGGCTAAAGATGACGCTGTCTATGAATGAAGCATAACTTTTTGGGGAGAGTTCTCCTTACTGCAAGTACAAAAAGGGAAGAACTTTCTCTACCTCCTCCCTCTGCCAGCACCTTCATCCAGGTTTGACTAAAGCTCTGTAATCTATGCACAAGATTTCTATCCTGCACCTTGACACTGAGAAGCCATGAAATTGCTTCAAGCACCAAATGTATAACAAAGCAATTTCAGCGTACATGCACCAGAGCAGTTAATGACACTTGGCACTACTTATTGTAAGACATTTGGAAAAGCTACTTTTACACAATGCCAATTACAAAATGCAACCCAGTAAAATGTAAAAAAATCTTCATAATGAGTGGCTTAGCTTCGTACTAAATTATCTTTTCTGGCCACCAAATGGAAGTGCAAGAATCAAACAATTTAAACAAAAGGGAGTCATCATTAGGAAGCAGCCCAAATGGCCAAAAAATGCAGCATATTTGTCGTGCTCCATTTTTAAGCTTCTGAACAGAGAAGTTGTAAGAATAAACATGTCTTCAGAATATGAATGTTATCAGAAGGACAAGCAGGATGGCAGAAATACAGGCATCAAGCCACCTTCAGTGAACCTGAGCCTGAGGAGACTTGTTTCTTCCACCTGCCAGCAGAGACAAACAGCAGGACGAGCATCTGCCTTGCCTGACGTTCAGCATTCTACTGCGCCCCAGCTGCATCAAGTACCTACAAGGACTGAACAAGCAAAGCAGAGCTTTATATCATTGACAGATTTTCATAATGGCACGGAACGGTTTCAGGACCATTCCTTTGCAATCCAAAGCCTCATTAGTTTAGCACCCTCCCATTTGCAGGAGGGAGCCTGGATACAATCCTCCGTAGTGCTTTGGGCTTTGAGTTCTGTACTTGCTTGCTCAGCAGCACGCTGTGGTCCTCCCTAACTGCCACAGACTCTGCTTCCTCCCTCGGTGGTGTATCAAGCCTGGGGTGCTAAATATGCAACACATGGCAGTGCAAATGCACTATTACAAAAAAAGTCTACTTTTAACAAGCTGTGTGTGGTCTTCATAAGCTGCAGGACCTTTCTTTGCTAATACGTTTCTTTCTAACACAGGACAAAAAGATCTAAGAAGCTTTTGTATTTTAAACCAAGCTGAAAGTAGAAATGGAAATCACTAAGTCTTTCCTTTACTGGTTTGCTGTGCTCCTTCATGTGAGATCAAGTTGCTTTCTATTACATCAATCCAGTTCCTGGACAAACTGCACATAATTAGCCATTTCCTTCTAGTTGGAACCAACCCTATTTTCCTATGTAAGACAGATTTTATATACAACTCTGAGAAAACTAGGATTTTTAACTATTTAAACTCCTACCAAATAAATCCCCTTATGCAGCTCCCAAAAAAAATTATTTAAAAAAAATCACTTACTGAGTTTTTTTTGAAACAAAGTTAGACTTTCTTTTCACCCTAGTTTCCAAAGAGGAATTATTAGTACGAGTAAGCGTAAGTCATACGGAAGTCTCACACAAACTTCAGCTGTCAGGGAAAAGGTAGAAAACAGTACAGAACAAATGTTTCTAAAAATGGCTTTTCAGTTTGAAATAATCGTAAAAAGGAGTTTAGAAATAAATAAATATAATATACTTTGGTACATGGGCATTATGGGCACACATCCACAGGTATGTAATATACACAATGACATACTGGATTTATGCAGTCCTACTATGAGTTCTGACCTCTCCGCGATGGAATTATTTTTAATATTCTAATTTTCAATTCAGTTTTCAATAGTTTCCATATTTTTACTAATATGGAAGAACAGTTGCTTACCATAACTGCTTTTCTCCCCCAAGATACCTTATTCCCACAGATCCCATCTCATGTGGTGCTCAAGAAATATTGCATTCTTTTGGCAAACACTGTTGGCTCCAGCCTGACACATGCAGGCATGCACAGCCCTGCTGCTGGCAGAGCACAATCTACGGGTACTAAGACTTCATAGGAGCAGAAGGAAGACAGGGGAGTGTGGATAAAGCATCTTAAAGAGCCACTGTTACTAGTAAGTCACAGATGTCTTGTATGGCTGACAAAGAAATGGTAGTAAGATCCTAAGATCCACCTTGTCCTTCATACTTGGAAGTACACCTACTTCAAAATTTTCCAATTCCTCTAGGGTCTGCAAGTCTTCCAACTGATTTGAACATAAGTCTAAAAGTGCCTCTTGCTGGAAAGCAATGTAACTGTAACCCCAAGCAGCAGCGAATGATGGCTGGTGAGAAACAGGACTGTACAAATCAGGGTGCCCACTACTGAAAACATGAAGTCTGCAGGGGTAGACCCAAGGAAGATTTTGTTTGCATTTCTATCTTTTCCTATTCCATTAGGCTTCTGACTGGCTGCTGTTCAGATGATAACCCTTATTACAAAAAAATGGCCTTCCAGAAGCAGTGCTGTCCTAATGAAAATGGAAAAAGTGCCTTACAACACATCACAGTGCCTGAGAAGGAGCACTGTAACAAAAACCCTACACCTGGAAAACACATATTGAGGAGACAGCACTAAAGGAAGGGTGTTTAGATTCAAGCAATATTAGAGATATTTATTTCACTCCTGGTAGCAGCAGATCAAAGAGATACATTTTTATCTTCTGCTGCCGTTCAAGTGCAGAGTGTCAGCAGAATCTAGCATCATGATCTCTGTGTTTCATTTTCATAGGCTTTGTCAACTTTTGTCTCAGCTTTGAAGGATAATTTAGTTGAAGAGTAGTTGCAGTCACAGACGCTTTTTAAAAAGCAACACAAAGAACTGAAAGCTAAGCTGTAGCTCACAGGAGTTCTTCAGCTTGGAGCCTTGAGTCAGATCTGCAGCATTTTTTCCCTCTGGATCTGACTAGTTTCTGACTGAATGCTCCAGGATGACCTGTTTAAGGCTATAAATTTCTTTTATTTTTGATTTCTTTTAAATAAGGAGTGACAAGTTTACCACCTGTAGGGAGTATCTTCTTTCTTACCGTCTCTATATGCACTCAGGATTTGATATGCAACAGAAAAAAATGACAGCACAAAGAGCTGAATCTCAAGAACTGCTTCAGACATAACAGAAAATCAGTACATGGAAATCCCCAAACATCTTGCTTTTTTCTAAGGTGAGTAGATATAAAAATAATATAGGAATTAACAACAGTATTACCACAAGATGTGAGAGAGGTAGACTTAAAAGTGCCATTTTGCAGGCACTGTCACTCCAAAAGAAATGAGGGACACTGGGTCCTTTGTCACCAACTCAAGTAACCCCACTAATTGATAGTACATGCATTTATGTCAAGATACAGGATGCACTGTACACATTTCGTGTACACAGCAGGTAGAAGTCAGAATGCTTGTGACAATGTGAACTGTTTAGTTTTGTTACAATGAAAAAGCAGTTTCTTCCTCCACTTTTTAACTGTTTTATTTAGTACTTCAACTTTTTTTTTTCCTTTAAGAAAAGACTGCTATGTATACTTCAAACAGACATGCAGGGGCAATCTGCTCAAACCTTGAACCCACTAAAGCAGGCAATTTATCTGGCATCTCCAAGTAGTTTTCATTCTAGTGAAACAGACTGAATTAACATGCAGACCTGAAATAAGGTAGCCTCTGCTGCAATTCTACAAACTACTGTGCTTTCATCCTCATCCCACTAAACTGTGTATTTAGGACAGAAGAGGGAAGAAAACAAATTTTACCATTTACATTTGGTATGGGTATTATAAATACTAGAAAGGACAGGCTGAGAGCAAAACCTGCATATACCAGGACATTGATTGACTGGAAGTCAGTATGGAGAACAGCTATTCGGATGACTGGGAATTGGTGAAACCATCTTATAAGAAGCCCCTTAGAGACTTGTTTAGAATTGTAAAGGCAAGACTGTACCCATAAAAAACAGGTAGGAAAAAAGTGACAAATTAACATAAGGTATGCATCTCTGGGTCAGGACCCCATGTCTCTCTCGGCCCATGGTCATTCATGGCATGACTCTTGACATGTGGACACTTCACTTGGTCTGTTGGTGTAGATTATGCACAGAGAAGACATGTTCTAAGCCTATCTGTACACCTCCAGTCAGATGTCAGGCTTCAATGACAAAATGTAACCCATAGCAGGAAGATGTTAGCTAGCCAGCTGTTAACTACATCTGACTGTCTGCTTTGCCCTTAAGGGACCTGAATCTCACAAGACACCACATCTCAGCTCAGAAGCAAGCACTAGCTTGCAAGCGGTGGACTTTACATCTGACCAACATCAAGTGTATGGTCAGCTGTGTGATGATAGGCGTTGTCCACTTTCATTTACCTCACAAACGTTCAGCTCCTGCCCAAGTACACACTAGTGCAGTGTACACAGATGTTCAAGGGAGGTCAGAATAAATTTTAACTTCAGGAGTACACTGAACAGTCAGTACATCCATGGCATAATGACAAATATGCAAGTTCATCATGAATATCTCACAGAGATTAAAATCAGGAGTGTGGGATTCATTGGACAGAACAGTGTTTTCTAACATTAAATGGAGCAGTTAAAAACACTTTATAAGATACAGAACAGATGTACACAGTGATTCAGAAAAAAGTTAACATCTTGCTGACATTCTGCTGGTCGGCTCACCCTCAACGTACACAGGACCATACCTTGGAGAAACAGACACTTTGTGATTAAGAAACTTCAAAGAATTCTGAAATATGGTATGTATTGTATCCTTGTATCCTCACAACACACAAAATTCAGAAAATTCTGGTCAACAGACCCAGAAAAGTTACATGGATTTAAGTTACCTTTACTGGCACCACAGCAACTAGACCTGGTTTGGATTACTGTTACTTAGACTAATCGAGGAATGAGAACTCCTTCATCAACATGACTAGGAATACAAACAGAAATGAACAAAAAAATTAAAACCATGGACTTTTAAAATTAAAAAAACCCACAATACTTGCCCAAGAAAACAGTCCGTGTCATTCATCCACTGGTTTATGAACTGTGCAGTGATGGGCTCAGGATTGTGTGGAAATCTGATGTTCTCCAAGGTGTGCAGAAGCAGGTCAGGATTGTAGTAGAGTGCAGCTATGGCAACCTGAAGACACATGGTACGAAGCTCACTTGTTTTAACTCCTCTCGTTAAGCGCTCCAGAACAGCCTCAACGAAGAGTGGAATACACTGGGCATATAAAGGAGAAGAAAAGACAAAAATCAACCCAAAGCAGGCATCATGTATGTTGCCAGATTATACAAAAGTTTAAAATACTTTTATCAGAACTGATACAGGTATAACCCACAAATGCATTCAGTTCTCTTCTTAGTATAAAAGCATTTTAAGCCTCCAATTATATGCTTATAAATCTTCCCCAAAACAGCTATTCTCTGAGCTAAAAATTGCCACTGTTATTCTCAGCATAGATGAGAATATTTGGGGCCATTTGGTAGAATTTGTTCTACTGTGTTTAAAATGTTCAGAAGAGAACACAAAAATATTTTTATTTTGAATAAAGATAGCCAACAGTTTAAAAACTAACAGGCACTGAAAATGAAATTACCTAAATGTGCAAGAAAATAAGTTTTCCTAACAAATGGAAAGTGATGTTAAATTTCTTATAAAAGTTTGAAATGAGTGAGTTTATTCAGACAAAAGCAAGTACACACAAATTTCCACACAGTGAAACGAACATCTATATTTATATTTCAATGTGCAGATTTATGCTCTATAATAATTTGGGAAGCATTATGAATGTTTTAATTTATGATTTTCAGTTCAGTGTGCAACCATTTTAATTCACAAAGTTGTGGAGCTCAATTAAGCCTTCCGCTACACACATTATTTCAATGCAAATGCACACATTTCACTTTAATCCCTTCCAGATTTCATTTAAAAATAAAATCTTTCAGGGAACATTTTTATCTTTAATGACTTCAGCTTTACATTAGGAAAGTTATATTTGGTTCAGTGAAATTAACTGAAAATTTATCACTGAAGACCATGGGTTGCACTGTAGCAACATCAAACATAATATGTTAAACTAATTCAGGCTGGACCATTATGTAAAACATGAGACCTGAATTTAGCTCTCAACAGGAAAAAGACTACTATCTAAAAGTGTGTCCTAAGAAACTCTCAAAAATTGTGATTATGTTTTTCCCAGCTGTCCTGGTTCCGTGTAAAAA